AGTGAACTGAGATAATATATTTTGATTAGAATCTACTAGTTAGAAAGCAACTCACGTAATTAAATCAAAGTTTTCTATACGAACCTGACGTTTTGGTGTATTTGTGTATTTAAAACATGAGTATGAGCCTCAAAGTCCTCTTTTAAAGATACGTGAAGGTATTTTCTTTTGTAAGGCATTTTTTAGATGGTTTAGATCAGACTAAATAAAAATTGCTGAGTTTTACATTCTTTCTCTTATAACAATAGCACAAACTCTGGTTCATCTTAGCTTGAACACCAGAAAAATGCAAGGAAAGAAAGAGCCAGATGTTCTAACTAACTTTTTGTTAACCAGAAATGTACCGATATTATTTTTGAATCATGTTACTTAGTGCGATCTCCTATGGCATAAAATAGTCTTTAGTTGTCCAGCATACGAATTAAACAACCCAGTAATATGCATACAATATGGGGCCTTATGTGTTACTATTTATCATACGCAATTATCGAGCGAGTGATTTTCCAACAGGACTAGAGATTATGAGTCTATAGCTCGGATATGTCTAGACTGACTTCGGTTTTTGATACTCCTCCTTCACAAGCAAGGTCATTAAACCCTTTTCGAGCCCAACTTGTAATGGCCAATGTAGGCAACCAGGTTTGGGTACTATTAAATATTTTAAATGGGGCAAAATGTGATGAATACCTAACATGCAAAATGTCTCTCAAGATGAAATTGAAAACTCTTATAAAAGCTTACATCGGCATTTGGAATATTACATCTTCATAAGAACGGTTTTACTTAATTATCAAACTTAGTATTTAATGCCAAGTATCCAATTTATGAAAGGAATCACCAAATTTGGAATTTTAATAGATTTTTTTTATCTGTGTTTAAAATTTATACTCATGTTTAATTTTAGTAAAAATTAGAACTATTCTAAATAGGGAAGTTTTTCTTTAAAAAAATGTTTGCCTTCTTATAAAAATCTCTATAACTTAACATTACTTTTGTTGATTAACCTGTTATCAAAAGAAGTTAATTTTAAATTTGGTGCAGATTTAAAATTTCTTTGTTGTACTTCATTTGCAACATTCTTCTTTTGAAAAAGATGTATACAATTACTAAACATGAGTGAAAAATGCTTTTCTTTTAGTCAAGAAAAAAAAATTCATATGAAAAATTTACAGTGTATATTAAAAAATAGAATATGTATAAGAGAAGCATGCTTGTATGTTCCAAATATAAACAGTATACAGTCAATAATTTCATATCTCAACTTCTGTCCCATATTTCCCTTAATAGTGACGAATATTGATCAGTAAATTAATGAATGAATATAATATAAATATGTTCATATAAGTAACTATCTGTTTTCTATACTAAGTACTATGTAAGTATTAATAGGTTTAGACAAAAAAGCAATTCAGAATCTTTTAGAGTTCTTTTTTTGTTGCTTGTATTCAGATTTTAACTGGAATTAAATCACAGATGCACAATGGCTGTAAATAATATAAATAGATTATTTCCCATGACACCATATCCATTTTTCAAACTTATTTGGCCTCTAGTGGATGCAATTATTATGATAAATGAAGAACGTAAACAATGTCTTTAGTAATTTAACCACAAAATAATTTCGAAGTTCGGTTTCACGTCTTTCGGAGTAGCAGTGCGTAAAACTCTTCTAACTCCAGATAATGAGGCATTGAAGGTAAAATGTTGACATTGAATAATGATGAGGATATAGGCATTCTGTTCTAAAAGGTCTAGAATATTTTGTGTGTAAAGACTGAAGTGAGGGATCGGGTAGAGTCTAATTGAGAAGAAAATTGACTGCATTCATTAAGGTGAAGAGTAGCAATAATTTGCAAAACATTTTGTAAGATAACAATATAGAGAATTGTAAACATAAAGTATTAATGAATTATTTAATATGTTCGTTATTATGTCAGAAAAGTTATAAGCCCTATTACATATAAAACTTATTTTAATATTGTTTTAGCAAACGAAAATAATACGTTTTTTTTTAAATAAAAAAAAACTTTAAAGGTTAAGATAATACAGCCATTGTTTTCCTAGGTGTGTCCATTTAGTTCCTAGGTAATGTCGCCAGATGTCACTCTATTCAATGGTAATTAGCTAGAGTTATGTTAAGTTATTTTTTATAGCAATTATATAGAATTTAGAGAGTGCTTGTAGTTGAGCTAAATAAATATTTCGGAAATAAATACTTAATTTTAGGTCCGTTGTAAAATCTTTTTATACTCAATGACATTTTTAGGGTCTGTGTATGTGTAAAACAATAACAAAATCATGAGATTGAACTTCTTTTCTTTATCAATTACGAATTAAATATACCAAAGAAAAAATACGAAACGCTAAGGATAATAGTTTCTAAAAGAAATGTATGGAATGCAAAGATGTTTCAAGAAAAAATATTAAGAATCTAAATAATTGATTAAAAAAATAACTTATCTTGATAAACATTACTTATTTAAAAGAATAATTTAGCAAAACTATATATTAAATGAAAATTCAATTTTGAACATATAAAAACACTACAATACCGGAAAAAATTCAGAGGCTTCACATAATAAAATGACAGTTCACTATATTCCAATGAATAAAAATAAAGGAATATAGTGAACTGTCATTATATATATACACTGGGTCCAAAAGTTAAGCATAAATCGTAAAATGCGAAAACATGGAGTACATATTCGTAAAATTATTCCAAATTTATTGCGGGTATTAATTGGGTGAAGAAGAAATATAGGGTTTATGCAAAACTTTTCAGTCAACTACGCCCTGCGCGAAACACCGGAGCATGTCGGAACGCGGAGAAATCGATTCACGCAGCATAGGCAGTTCAGACAAGTTTCGTGCAACTGCTGTGCGAAGGAACGTTGTTAACCATCAAACAAGGTGAATGATGGCACAAAGACGCCAAATGGACATGTTTACGAAAGGAAGAATCATTGGAATGTTGAAATCCTAGCGATCACAGAACGAAGTGTCTCGAATTCTGAATGTGGACTAGTCTGTGATCTCAAGACTGGGACAGAGGTTTCAAACAACAGGAGATGTTACCCGTCAACCAGTATCAGGTCGACCAAGAGTCACAACCCATCGCCAAGACCGATATCTTGTAATAAGTGCACGACGTCAGAGGGGCAGTACTGCCAGAGCACTGGGTTCGGCGCTCACAGTCGCCACAGGAATACGAATTTAGAGACAAACTGTTTACAGGAGACTCAATCATGCTGGCCTGTATACCAGAAGATCAGCGGTTTGCATTACCCTCACGTCTGCGCATAAACGCGCTCGTTTGAACTGGAGTTTGTAACATCAACATTGGAGTGTAGGAGGTTGGGCCAATGTGATGTTCAGTGACGAGTCCCGGTTTAGTCTGAGTAGTGATTCTCGGCGGTTAACGATATGGAGAGAACGTGGAACACGTTTTGCACCAAGAAAGATAACGGAAATACATCATTTTCCATTAAGGGGAGTAATGGTATGGACAGGCATCATGATGGACGGCCGAACAGACCTCCATTTCTTTGACACGGGGTCTGTGACTGCTCAAAGATACAGAAACGATGTTCTTGAGCCTTATGTTCGCTTTTTCTAAGGTGCTGTCGGTCCTGACTTCATATTCATGGATGATAATGCGCCATGTCACCGAGCGGTGCTGATTGATGACTTCCTTGAAACGAAAAACATCCAGCGCATGTCTTGGCCTGCGAACTCCCCTAATTTAAATCCTATCGATCATGTATGGGATATGCTCGGGAGACAAATTGCAGACCTTTCGCACCCACCAAGCTCCGTTACAGAACTAAAGAAAGCTCTCCAAGAAGCTTGGAACCGTTTGAGCCCACAACTCATTCATCATCTCATAGCAAGTATGGAAAATCGCTGTGCAGCGTGCCTGGCTGTCAGTGTGATGACCACACGCCTTATTAAACGGCAGCATCAGTATTTTATTTAATGCTTTCTTTAATTTTTTCCTTAAAGTGTGAATCCTTTCTAGGCTCAGTTTTCTTTTAAACTGCAACTTTGTATAATGAAATTAATTATTATCATTCTTTTGATTTGCTTCCTTATTTTATAACCATTTTACACTCGCATATCACGTTTCCTGCCATTCTGATTTACAGTTCATTCTTTATTCACATAATTATCAATTATGCTTAACTTTTGGACACCAGTGTATATATATATATATATATATATACATTTAATTAAAATCACGAAAGATGTAATAATAAAAAAATTTTTTAATACTTTACAAATGCGATACTGGATTTTTGAAAATTTACTATATTTCATCTAATTATTAATACCGCAAAGTCTTGCGTATAACATTCACCGCCGTATACCGGGGCATCTATACTTTCATATCGTATTTTTTAATATTTAGGTATATTCGCGCCGTATAACGCGGACTCCAATTTTTCGAAGAAATCTGAAATGTACGTGGGCAAATATCTTAAGTTTTGAAGTCATTTATTAGAAATATTATTCCAAGACTTAGAAGAAAATATCTGCTTTTAAAACCACAATTCTTCTAAGTTCTTAAGGAATGCTATTTCTTTTAAATAAACAGTACTTCGATATAAAAGGAAGTTAGTTTTCTTTTGCTCATCTATTTTCTTATTTTAAGGCTCTCATTTATAATCACGGTGTATAACGCGTGCCTTTAAATTTCGATGGTATATTTTTTTATTAAAATTGTGCGTTATACACAAGGTTTTACGGTAGTTAGTAAGAGAAAATATGAATAACATATTATAGTAAATTTAGCAAACATATAACGAATCATTTTTTCAAACTTATAAAATTAAAAGAATGTTCAATATAAATATGTAATAAAAAAGTAGGGTATATATATATATATATAATAAGGAGATTATAATAATGAGGGTTGTTCATGCTTTTTAAACCTGATCCTGAGTTATTGAGTTTTAGTATATTCCACCAAATCATTTACATTAAGTAATAGAAAATATGCCGCTCAGTTAGTATGATGGTTTTTACTCTTGGCTTGTAATCGAGTGGGATCGGGTTGAAATCCCGAATAAGGCATGGCTCTTTCTTTGGGAAGAGATGTCGGACTTTCACCTGAAATGGTTTCCCATCTCGAACGGAAAGCAGAGCATCTCTTTGATTCTGTGCTTGGGTCATCATTTGAAATAAAAAGTCGATATTTTTATGTGTTTGTATTATATGTTTCTGTTCTTCTATATCTCGTCTTTCACATGTGCTCTTGGATGAAATACACGGCAACAACAAAAAGAGAAAATATGAATAAAGTATCAGAGGACATTTAGTAAATTTACAGATTCATACATAATACTAACAAAATAAATATACAAATATTTATTTGATGGAAATCGCAGCATCACATTCAACTAAAATGTCCTCTGCACTAAAAAGTGGAGAAGCAAAATGTGTTCCGGAAAAAATCTAATAGGGAAAATTTGACGCAGAGAGAGAGAGAAGACATGTTATGCGCCCCATCCGCAGAAGCAAGCATGAATCAGAAATGGAAGCAAAAGTGGCTCGGAAAAAGCAATTTCCGAGACCCTTGTCTGAACAAAATTCCAAGAAGAAACCTGAAACCAAAGCGAATAGTGTAAAGGGATACCAGAAAATTACCAAGAATGCTTAAGAACCGAGATAAAGTTCTCTATATTTTGTAAAAAAGAAAATAACTCTTATCCTGAAGTAATTTCAAATTGAATAATATAGTTACACATTAGATTGAAAAAATTGAAAATTTGTTTATAAACCTTTAGTGCAGAATGGGCCGCGTTTATGCTATTTTTTGTCAATTTTTCCTAATGTTTCCCAATTTAGTAATAATTATTTATTTTTCTCTTTAATTTTAGCACATTTTTCTTAAAATACACTAAACAAACTAAAAATAACAGAAAAAAAAATCCCCATATCTCCTTTTTTTAAAAAACAGTTGTTGCAACCAGTCGTATACCTTAAGGGTAGAAATCTGAAGTAAAACCAGTATAGAACACCAAAAAATATTTTTGCAAGGAATATTTGGATTTCTTATTTTACATAACTTTGTTCGCTCAAACACCAAAGTTATTATAAATAAGTAATTGAAAAAAATAAACAAACACATACATATATAAATGGGTGCTGGACTTTGTCTTGGGATATAGTGGAGTTTTGAACAAAAGAAAACATTGTAACCAAATTGAAAAAATAAATAATTGTTTTATTAAGATAAATAATTTTAAGAATCACTCTATTTACAACATTGAATTTATTGCAAAAAAGATTAATTATTGCAGCTAATAAGACGTTGAACTTACTCGTTCATGGTCGTTGTAAAAGTGATATCTCAGGGTTATATAGCACCCGACGTCATCGCAAACGAATTCTTTCATACCATCTAATAGATTTGATTTGGTATGATTGACGCATCCATCTCTAACAATCGAAATGTATTGAATGTCTTTAACTAAATTGTTTTAATTAATTATTGGAACTAATTTAATAATATTTACTATATATGTATATATATGTATATATTGTAAATTAGAGCAGTAGGAGAGAACATTCCCTTCCCCCTGTGTTTCTCTGGTCCAGACATAAGTCGTTAGTTTGTTGTTTGAGTTACACATTCTATCGTTGATAACATGAATTCAATACTGTGACATGTATTTGAAAATTGATCTATTTTTCGATATTGTGTCTGCACTGGGTCAATCGCTGCTATTTTCCTGTGCTATAATATCTTTATTTCATCTAATCCATTGCATGGTTTTGAACTAAATGAGTAGCGATTTTTAGAATAGCTGTTCAAATTGTTCCAAACCAATAGCATGGCCTTTTACAAGCTCTTTCATATATGCTGCTAAGGAGCACCAATTTGTCGCTGAGACATCGTTGCAATCCGGAGTCTAGTGGACTCTCAACATGTTTTCAAACTTTCCCCAACGGAAATCTATTACATATAGATTGTTTGATTGATTCGAGAACTTCATTTTATGAATTAACTATGTTATGTGTGCATATAAAGTTAACTATTCGAAGTGATTTGAAGCTGAATATTAAATTGTGTGGAGATTATTATTGCGGGTGATATTCGTGGTTGTAAATGTAAAAACTGAAAATTTCATTATTTATTTTTAGATTTGGTGTGTCTGATTAAAACACATATATTCCACTATCTCTGCTTAGTGTTACATTAAATTTGTATTGCACTTGCCTGAACTCAAGGGAACCAGCCAAGAATTTTAAAAGAATTTCTGATCGTTTTCCGACGGAAATTTTTTCTCAGGTATTAGATTTACAATTTTATGCAAATAAATCGCCTATTGGCTTAACCTTCCAATGCATGAAAATTAGCAGGCTGGTTTTTATGCTTTAAATCAAATACTCTAGGCAAGACAATAGCTGTAAGGATTCAGAAAGGTATTGTTAAATAACATCACGTTTAAACGTTATTGGTTGAGCACATACATTCTATCGAGAATCAAACAAAGATATTCCCAATAAACTAGTGATATAAATAGTATAGCACATTCATCAGAATTGTCCTTTCAAATAGATTTGCTAATGGTAAATGTTTCAAATGAATGTCTAAATAGCTCGTAGAGAACCTCAGCAGCTTATATTTTATCCCTAAGAACAGGGACCAGAAAGCATATGAGTAACCAGTAAGAATATGAGTAAAAACACTTTTAATGTCAGACCCCAGATGAATTAATTTCCTAAGAAATCATCTACAATGTTGCACGATCCATAACTACACACACACAGGGTAGAAGCTCAGATCAAACACTCAACCTACGCATCCTGCAGAGGTGGCGTGTCACTAAAGGTGACTATGGAAACAACATTGATTTGAACTGGTTACCTTCAGATGCAAAGATATTTAATAAGCCATAAAATAGTTTCCTTAAGATTTTTCAGTTTTAAGTATGGATAAGATAAAATAAATCAGAGAAAGTATATTGAGAAATAAAATATTGAAATGATCAAAACACACACACAAAAATGGATTTGAAGATTTTTTTTAAATTTTGTTCAACACAGTACCTAGCCGAAGGTATCTAACAGAAACGGAGAAAAATAGCAGGTGAAGCAGGTAACTGACACCTGATTCATTGGCTGGAGAGATGAAAAGACGGAACGAATCCTTTTAGTGATGTAATAATTAAAAAGTGAATTTTTGAATAATAGATACACAAAAACTAAGGCAACATGGCAGTAATCAAATTTGCACTAACTTTTAAATACATTTTGATTTGTAAAATATAAACATAAAAGATAATATACTTTTCATTAAAAAAAAAAGTTTTTGTGTATATTTGGATGAAGCAAAAATTACACTATTATTAAATGAAATATCAAAAAATCTATGAAGTAGCAAAAGAATAAATTCAGTACAGCATGATTTAAAGAAGCAACAAAATGCAAGAAATTCACACGATCTTTTAACAACGAAAGCATAGCTTGTAGTAAATATGATGATAGGTTATGGCTGCATGTTTATAATATTAACACATTGAAAATTTCAATTTATTATTTATCCAATATATATTTTATATTTAAGATTTAATAATACAAAATTCGAAGAAAAAGAAAACTTAACAAATAATTTTAAATTTTGTTCTAAATTAAATAAACTCAAAGGTTTAATTAAAATTAAACATGACATCAACATTCATAGATGCCTTTAATTGTATTCCAATTTCTTCTGTAATTCTACATTGCATTAGCTGGCGCACGGCAAAGCATTAATCGGACAGAATAAATTCATGAATCTTCCACAACTGTATAATTGTCGGAAATATTTTTAGGTCACGAGAAGCACTTGTATTTTTATAGAAATACATAATTCAAAATTTTTTTCACTTTAAGAG